ATTCCATAACTTTCGTTATTCTCAAAAGGATCTATAAACCAAAAAAGTAAAAATACTAAAAACAAAACAATTGTAGGTAATGCTTATATGAACATTCCACTTTCATGGTATACGGAAGCTGCTGGAGAACTAAAAGTGAACCATTAACTTCCACGCTGACCTGCCCTATCCGTGCATGGAGGGAACAGACTGGACAGGGCGTCCTCTCCAGAGGACATTCTTAAATATTTGTTCAATAAGTACTCGAGCTCTTATACTGAAGAGAGAGAGATTTACCTACAGAGCAAATTATGTTCATTAAGCACTGCTTTAGGCACTAGAAGTAAGTCATCCATTACTCTCTTTCTTGGCATAACTCATGGTTAATAATCTAAAACAAAATTCTTTAAGCTGTACAGATTTTTTTTTAAATAAAATACCTAGAAAAGAGGCTTTTAAAGGTTCTTACTACAAAGAAATAATAAATGCATGAGGTGACGGATACACTAACTACCCTGATTGAATCATCACACAACATAGATATGTATGGAAACATCAAATTATATCCCATAAATATGCACAATTATGATATGTTGATTAAAAAATAAAAATTAAATTAAAAAAGTTTGGTACCATAGGCGGGAGAATTGCACAGATTTTTAAATAATCGTTTAGGCTTATAACATTTTATTATCTCCCTTGGTTGTATACAACTTGTCAGTTATAAGAGTCAGGTGTTACACAGGAAGCACATAAACCTCTTGTCCATGTATTCCAAAATAGAAGGAAAAAAATTTTTAGTAGTAATGTTTGCCAGGTAGTCTTACATCAACACCGGAATCTTGATAAATGACCTTTCTCTAATCCCAACCCAAATAAGAGGGTTTGCATAAGCTTTCTTAGTGATGTGTTTGTTGACAAAGCACTTCTCTCCATATTAATGAGTCAATTACATATAACTTTGGCATAGAATACTATATACTTAATCCACTGCACTTAAACTCATGTGACTCACGATTCAAACAAAAACCATTCATTGAAGAAGCAGAATGTAAGTTTATGCTTTGAATTTCAACAATTTTTTCATAGCATTTTAACCAGTATCTCTGACAAGAATATTACATGCCATAATAAATAGTAAAAGAGTAGTCCTAATTAGCATTAAAAGAAAACTTCGAGTTACTGATCACAGCATAAATGAGTGCCACTTTTTAAATATTTTTTACTTTGAAAGCACTTCATAGCTTTTAAAAATACTGACTAACACATTACATTAGGTAAGGAAGTTCATTTATATATATGTACGTATATATATGTGTCTGTCTTAACTCCCAAAACAAGACCGATAGCATGAAATCATTGCTGTTACCTGATCAGCCCCAGTAAGATGTATGAAGCTCTCAAGAATGGATGGGCTCAGCCTGTCCATCACATCGATGGCTAATTCATCATCACCCTATAAAAAAGATACCATATGTCTAAAAACATTAGCAATGTTTAAGAAAAGTATCCAAACCTAGGAAAACACTGAAAATGCACTTTAGCACTATTTGTTACAAACGGAATCGAGGATGGTGGGTAGTTTAGGCCCGGTCAAAGATACTTTGTTATAAAGTAACTTATACCTACATGGGAGGTACAGAAATAGCATAAAGGCGGACAAAGGGATAGTTCTTAAGTACTTTCATTAGATAACTTAAAGAAACACCTAAATCTTACCTTAGGTATTTCCAAAAGTGCAAATAAAGCCCGTATTTCTCTAAGGACACTGACGGCTAATCTCCTAGTGGCAGGTCGACTGCTACAAAGAATGACAAGTGCAAAGCCTTCGACTACGTGGAACACACTGGAATACAGGCCCCTTTCCAGAGGAGGGGGATGAGAAGCTCCATTAGCTACACCATGCTTGAAAAATAAATAAAAGTTGAAAATAAAATAAAAAATACATATGTATAGATATTCCAGAAAAACAATTAATAAAGAGTAAAGCAAATCACAGAAATCATGGCTACAGGTCTGCCTCAGCTCAAGCAATTTAAATACTATTTCATTTCTAAAAATATAATAGTGGGCATGGTGGAAAAAGCATGTCATTGGCAGTATAAATATGAATGCTGTACCTAACTTCTATCATTCTCTGACTACTTTATAACCTTGGAACTGACAGTGTTTTTCTAATATTTCTTTGCAGGAAATGAGGGGATTGGATTGTATCTTTCATACGCAAAGTGTGGACCAGCAGCCTGCCACTGCCTGGGAGCTTGTTAGACACTCTTTCACTGGGCCCTGCTGATTTCCATGCTCGTTAAAGGTTGAGAAGCTAGGTTGGCCGAGATGGTTCAGCTCTAAAATTCCAAGGTTCTACGACTTACACATTATCATAAATCAACAATTTGAACACCTTTTATGGTTAAGGAGCACAAATACTGAACAGGTGAAACAGGGACTGTTGCCATGGAGAAATAACCAAGAAACCCAAATGGAAGACTACCAAAATTTTCCATTATTGTATCAGTTTTAAATATATTGGAAACAACCTGAATGTGAGATAGACTTATCTCTACTTTCTATGCTCACTAAGAACTAGTTGTTACCAAGGGAAGGATGTTAGAAAGTTTAGGCACACAGACACTACAAATTTAATGTATGAACTATAGAAAAGCTCAGTTCAAGGGATTATAAACACATTGAAATTGAACAGAAGAAAACTTTTAGTATGGGAGAAAACAGATCTATATTAACATCATTATTGTTCATTTACCACTGACCACACAGAAAGGGACAATACAAAAGAATCTGGTACCTGTGAGTCCTGGTTTTTGTTATGCATTTGGGCTGCTTGTTTCCACTGATTTATTAATTGTACCAACATCTTTATGGCATTATCAAGAAGCGTGGGATGGACATCAGTCACTTCACGAACAATAAAATAAACAAATCCTGAAAGAACATCCTCCCGCCAATCTGGAAAATCAAGCATTAGTGCCTGCAGAGTATTGAAAGCCAGAGCACGCAGTTCTTCATCCATATGAATTGTGAGCCTACCGAGAACAAAACGCCATTAGCAAACCTCAAAACCTCTCAAAGAGTTTTTCATCACCTAAACCTTAAAACTAGGAACTTAAAAAATATATCCTCTTAATTGTTTTGTAAGAAGCACAAAGATAGGAACCAATGTTCACTTTTTGTGCTATATTCAACCTTATGCTTGTCTATACTTATTTGTTTAAATTCACACATAAATCTACTAATATTAGTTGATATTTTTACTATAATTCAGAATAAGTTTAACTCAAATGCTATATTTTAGCAAAGAATACAGATGCCATATCAGAATTCCATTTAAAAGTTCTTTAATCCTAAAATATGTTGTTATCCTATAATCAATCCAAAATTACATCTAATCATATAATATCTTAGCAGCATCTCACGTTTATTTAGTCCTTTACTATTGCTGAAAGCACATGACTCAGTCGTTCTTTATTTACTGCTGAGATTACAGTTAAATATGAGATGGCTGATTATGAAGAAGGAAATACAACAAATTAAGATGGGGTCAAATTAATAGAAATAATTCTTGAAGGCGAGAATGAGAGTAAATTTAAGAATAACATCATAAATAGTGTATGCCTAGGACAAAAAATGAAAAAACAAACAATGTGTTGACTCGACACGTAAGGCTCTAAAGAGAGTTTAAGTGTAAATAAATTAGGAAAGAGGCTATATAAAGTTACCTTTCAAAGACATCAAACCAATAGGGGGCTTTCAACATAATTATAGAATTTTACCGAAACACAAAAAACAGAATGATAAACAAGAAAAACAATGATAAACAAGGTACAAAATGGCTGTAGCAGTAAAGCCACCTATGTATATATGTGTGTGTGTGTGTATACATATAATGTATATATAAAATAATGGTATATGAGTCAGTGTTTATGATTTGGGGCTGAAGAGGATTACTTTAATAATTGCCTCTAAAGACGAATGCATCAGAGTTAGAAATAGTCTGAATGAATAAAATAAGTAGGTAATATGAAAAATACACCACAATTACATGCTTGGGAAGCTGGAAAGATGGAGTTATGCACAAGGACAAGAGGAGGAAAGGTGCATGGTTAGGAGAAAGAAGCTATCAGTCTTCACCCTGCTGAATTCAGTTCTGGTCTTCACTAACCCAACTTTCATCTGACAATGAGACTAGCAGGAAGACATATCACAGCTGGGCAGATTTAGGAGGAAGTAACGAAGCCAGGGTAGTTATTTCTGCACGTCAGAACCAAACAGGGTCAGATTAAGCAACTCCAGCCCGGTATTCTGTCTCTGAATTCTGTGGCACCAGGGGAGAGACTGTTGAAGAGGAGAGTGACAACCCTCCATAATGCTGACTTAAAGGTTATTTCAACATCCCTGAAATCTACAAATATGTAAATATCTTATACCTGTGTGTATATATATATTAATACATGAGCTAACTTCTCACTGTGTAGAGGAGAACAATAATGCAGCCTGGCTAATTAAAGGCAGCGGAATTAATTAGCTTTCCTTAGGGACAGCATACGGGTCTACAAATTTACAATGCACCTTTGTTTTATTTGCTGCTTGATTTTAAAGTTAGATTTAGACAGCACAACTCCAAATGATAGGAGTGGAGGACAAAAATACAACAAACCCTAGGCTCTTTCTTTCCACTGAAGTCAATGAATTAGTAAACGAGTATCGCAGGGGAAGCAGCAAAGTGAACAGCAAGCAAACTGCACTCACTGTCCCGGTGTTCGCCCCTTCACTAGGCCCACCTGCCCCTCAAAGGTGCAGTTTCGTTTTGCGGGGGAACATGGGTGATCTCTCTGTGGCTCACCGTCCACCAAGATGCACGTCTGTGAGTCAGGCGGAGGTGGGAGGTGGAAGGGCAGAATTGAACAGCAATTGTTTACTGCCCTCCCAGATAACGTGATAAATCCTTACGGTTTCTAATTTCTCAGGCTGACATGAACTTCGTAACTCTGTAATCTAATCCGCGGCAGAAATGAAGAGACAGTGTGGGAAGGGAATGCATTTATCTTACGGTGCAAAGTAACCCCTTTTTCTCATGATCCTGGCAGGAGACGAATACCATCCTGTCTCCGATGGCAGCCCGCAGCAGTTGAGGGTAAGGCAGTGCCCAGGTGTGGGAGAGGCGAGGTGTTTTCGAGAAGGGGGCAGAGAGGGTTGCTGGAGAGCAGTCTACTGCTAGTTTGTTCATTGCGAATTAACTTACGCCTTAGTGATAAATACTCGGCAACGGTATCTTTCAATGTAGTCAAGCATCGCTGCTCTGTTATAGCTGTTGGACTTGGTTTGCCACCTAGGACCAGGGCCGGCCAGCTGCGGCTCCCCGGGCCAGCTGCCGACGGGAGTGCGGTCGTGCACACTCTTCGCCCATCGTCTCTGGCTGTTTTTGTACCCAACGGCGGAGATGAGCATCTGTCTGTTTTATTGATACATATGGATGTACGTGTTTTGGGGGCACATAGGATAATTTAATACCTTCACATAAATGGTAAAGATCAAATCAGTGTAATGGGGATATCCATCACCTTAAATATTTGCCTTTTCTTTATGCTAGAAACATATGAAATTACTTTCTTCTAGCTATTTCGCAACGTACAATTGATTATTGTTAAACTGTAGTCACCCTACTGCTCTATCAAACACTAGGCCTTATTTCTTCTATCAAACTGTGTGTCTGTACTCATTAATGAACCTCAGAGATGAGTACTTGTGACAAAGACTGTAAGACCTGCAAACCCTAAAAAAATTTAATATCTGATCCTTTACAAAAAGAAATATGCTGACCTCTTGTCGAGGGAAATCTCTAACTGCATCAACAAAACAATGCAATAGGCCATCACCTCAGCTTAAAACTAGGAGCTATTATGTAAGTTTGATTGTCATGTTATTTACTCCTTTTATAGAACTATGGCATGCTTAACAGAAGAGAGAAAGAGAGAAATGTGCATGCTATAGGCTCTGCCAGAGGGGGAAAAAGGTGCAAATGAGACCTAGTTACCACCCTAGATATAAAGTAATGACTGTAGAAATAAACACAATAACTGATTGCCTAACTGGGTATTATTATACACTGACAATGCCATATGTTAAGGGGTAATGTGTTACATAAATCCCAGGAAATATTAATAGGTGGAAAAATAGGGAATTGAAATATAAGATTTGTGGGGGAATCTCTCTGTGGAATCTCAAGAAGAACTTGAGAAGATAAAAAATGAGTGGGGAGAATGTGTTTATCAAAAAAATGAAAGACGAAATGGGAGTTTAGAATGTAATCAAATAAAGGATTAAAAATGTCTTCATTATTTCCTGTTTAGTGATGATAGTAACAGGTGTATTAGAAATGTAAAGGGATAAGAAAGAATAAAAATTAACATAGCGAAGAGTAATTTCATTTACCTTGCTAACAATTCAATGAGGTCAGTTCTGCTCATACCATCAGGAATCAACCTCGGAATAGCAGCAATACAAGTTCTAAACAAATCAATTTTGGGCTTTCTTTCCCCCCTGAAAAATACATCACAACAGGATTTAAGAAGTATATTACATATGCCGGACAATACAATAAAACTTGGAAAAATAATTACAGAAAGTAGGAGCTCCCTCCAAGTGTAACATACTTAATTTAAAGAGTGCATACAAATGCAGTAGATTATCATCAGTCTGTAAATGGATAAAAGAATACAGAAATAATTCAGTAAAAAAACACAGCTAGCAAACAAAAATTAGAAAACAAGCATTGCAACTATTATTAAATAACAGATATTATTTAAACAAATCACAATTTCAAATATTAATAAAATTATTTAAATATTATTTAATATTTAGGCTTCTGTAAATGTTAGATAATATTATTAAATAACTAAATATTAGTTATTATTTGGGGCCTATAAAATTAACCAAAATTTTTTTATTTAATATCCTATACCAATAAGGATCTTGGAAACAGACATCTCGTGTCGGTCAATATATAAACAATACATATTATTTGTTCTTGTTCTGTGTGTGATACATGTACATAAATATACATATTTAAAACTTTTATGTAATAAAATGAGCCAATTGTTGAAAATCCTGGTTCCTCCAGAGACTTATTATACAATTTAACTATATTTTTTCTAGTTATTCAGTAGTTTTATTTATTTCTTTTAAATGTCTAATCTCTTCTGCTGGTTTTTATTTTGGTCTATATTTCAAGGTGAGGCCTTTTAAACTTATTTTATCCAAACTGTTGCCCAGTTGGCCTAATAAAATAATCTTTATGTAGAAAAGAATTCGGATGTTCTAAGTGTTTTGGGCCAATATTCATTATAGTGGCTATGCACCTGCTACCTCCTTTCGGAGATTTCAGATCGTCAGCCCTCTCTCTGCATGCTCTAACATGCATGAATTTCAGTTACCACGATTTAACTAAACACACACCAGTCCCCAGCAACACGGTTCAAATTTAAGGTATCATGTATCATAATAACTATAAATAAAGGCATCGACAAACTTTGCTGTTGGCTCTTTAGTTCACAAAGCACTATGTAAATAACACGTGCACACCATGATCAGTGACCGATCATTTCTTTTCAGGCCGTCACCAATTGGTCACCGCACATCTGTTACTCGGTTCACACACAGACAGCGACGTGAGCAGTGGTGTTGCCTCCTTCTCTCCCGGTGACGAACCCACATGACGCTTTACAAAAATGGATAATCAAAAGAGGGAATTCGCCAACGAAGATGAAAGTACAGCAAAGAAAGAAAAAGTAACGTCACTGTGTAGTGAATTCTTATAATTTCACGTTGCCTCCGCAGCCATTTTAAATGTAAGTTTAACTTTCTCATACCAGAACCAGGGCTGGGTCACCCTTGATACAGTTTCCACTTCTACCCCCGCCCCACCCCCAGCTTCTGTAATGTCATCGATCCAGACATCTGCCTTATATAACTTACTCCCAGTGACCACGTCCCTAGGGAACAGCTACTTACAGCCTACTTGCCTGGCCCCGCTGACCCACACACCCTGCAGGGACATGTCTCAGTGCCCACCTCTCAGTCACAGCACGGCCTCCTGGAACTCATGCCTGCTTGCTTGCTTGCTTCTTTCTTTCTCTCTTTGAGACAGAGTCTCACTCTGTCACCCTGGGTAGAGTGCAGTGGCACCATCATAGCTCATTGCAACCTCCAACTCCTGGGCTCAAGAGATTCTCCTGCCTCAGCCTCCCGGGTAGCCGGGACTACAGGCAAGCACTACCGCACCCAGCTAATTTTTCTATTTTTAGTAGAGACGGGGTCTCACTCTTGCTCAGGCTGATCTTGAACTCCTGAGCTCAAGCAATTCCTCCCGCCTCAGCCTCCCAGAGTGCTAGGATTACAGGCGTGAGCCCCCGCGCCCGGCCATGCCTGAGTGCTTTAAACTGATCAGTTAAAACTACGCTGTTTGGATAACAGCCTGGACCCATAAAAGGCATCGGTCCACGGAGCCCTTTCTCTTTCCACGCACTCCCTGACCTTGGCGAGCGTGGCCTCTGAGTGTGCAGTGAACCCACCCCGAGGACCTGCAAGTAATAACATCTCTATTGCCATCTTGTGCCTCTCCCAATCACTGAAACGGTCCTCTCCATCTTCAATATCGTAAATTAAACACACTGGAAGTTCAAAGCAAATGTCAGTGGAGTCACGGAAGACATAGCTGACCGGGAATGTTGACGGTGCCGTCTTCAGAGATGCTGTGTAGGCGGTGAGAGCCACTGAGTGGAAGCGAACTATTGGCATAGATGAGGGAAAGGGTAGTGCTGAAAAAAGGGAAGATTTCCCAGAGGAAATAACACAGGCAGAAAACTTCATATGAAAGAAACTCTCGGAGATATTAGAATATGGCAGTATATAATCATTGCCTATTAAATAGAGATCAAATATCCAATTTGGTATTCTAAGACCTACGATGCAAGTATTAACATCCAAAAAAAAAACCCCACCTCCCTTATAGAGACTATGTAGATACTTTCTAGCAAACTAAAGAAGTTATTACCACCAAATGCGTCTTCCTGAGGAGGAAGTCCCTGACAATAAGGACAAAACATGCTGGGATGACAAATGATGACAAGGCTCGGCGGGGGGGATGGTGGGGTGAGATGCTGATTCTGAAGAAACTCAGACATTGTTCTCCTCTGTAGCCCGGTTCCCAGGAGACAACAATATCAGAGTTCACATTTTCAGGATTTTTTTTTTTTTTTTAAATCAGGCCTCTGGGAATAAGAGCATTAGTCTGATCGAATGAACCAATCGTGCCCACACACGTCTGCGGTACCTAGGACTTATGGACCACTCAGGGGGTAGGCGTAGGGCCTTGTCATTAACAAAGTAGACTGGGATCCAGACTGACTTTTGCCATCTATACTAGTGTGACAGCGCTTCAAAAAATAAAGCTGAGCGCCTGCAAGGAATCACTGCATTGAAAAATGCAGCAGATGGCAGTTTGGGAGAGCTCTAGAAGAGAAGGTAAGGCAACAGGTAAGCAGGAATCAACCACCTGTACTCTCTTACGAAAAGCGAAATAGCAAAGAAGATAGACAGTTCGCTACGTACGTGATCATATCTTCGGGCTCCTTATTGGACATCTGCACACTCGTCATGCACATCGGTCTCCCGACTTCTTTGTCCAAATGTCTGAGAATGCTGTCTAACGCTTTCCTTACTTGAGGATAGTAAACTGACATTCCTAGGAGGAAAAAAACCTCATAGTTATAAAATATCAGAAGGTAGATAAAGAATACTTACAGTTGCTTTCTGTAATAAAAGCCTATCAATCTCTAAATGATATTAGCGTATTGTTGTCACAAAAGGAGTTTCAAATGTGATACATCTTTCCTGATCACCAGCTATAGCACATTGTAGGAACTAGAGAAATCGTGTGAAAATTACGCAGAAAACTTAAATTGATTTGAAGAAAGGATAAAACGCAGTGAACGGTATCCTTTAACCAGAAGACTCTTAACGTCAAGATTTATAACGATTATCAAAAACGTATTATCACAGTTGTACGGACTGGAATAACCACATTAGGCAAATTTATGCATTTCAGATTTGATCATAGAGTTTTACAAAAGAATATTCAACTGTATTCCAAAGCAACTTATTTATTTCAGTCAACACTAACCTATGACTTTTGCTTCTTCATCTGTCAAGGTTTTATTGAGAAAGATTTTCTTTACACGGAGCGTATTTCCCGAGGGAAGAATGACGCCTGTTGTGGGCATGGGCGGTTCCCCATCCTTCTGCTGCAGACTGTCTGCTATTACCAGGAAGACTCGGAGGCCGATGTTCATTCTCTTCAGAGAAGAAAGTTTCAAAAGGAAGAAACCAGAGCGTCACAAATTATCTTCTGTTCATGTTAGAAATATGTCATCAAGTAACAGTGGGGGATGGGAGGAAAGAGACAGAAGGAAAACTAACCTTCTGCCCAGCATTTTTAACCAGTCATTGTTTGCGTTAGCATCAAATTCCCAAAGGCCACCCTCTCACTTCTGAGGGCAGCCGGCTGTCTTACTCTAAGGCTTATTCAACCCTCTTCTATCCTTCTTCAACTCTCTGGTCCTCCTACAGTCCCCTCCTTTGTCTAGCTCTCTAGACAGATGATTTGTCTCCTACTCCTCAGAGAGAAAAAAACCATCGGCTTTCCTCCGTCTCTCGTTATAAATCACGCCCATCTATTTCCACGTGCATCTCTGCCCCCTCTCTTTTGCTCTTGTATTAGTGAGGGGCTGACGGTCATCCTAGCTGTTGGAATCCCGTCTGTTCTTGCATTTTGGGGGAATATTACACCACTTTCTTGCATCTTCGACATTCCCCTTATAATGGAATCTATCCCAGTCCTCTTAACTATACTCACTATCTTGATGGAACAAACCTTCCCTACACTATTTTCCAGAAGGAACTCTCACTCATCAGTGACCATGTTACTCGGAACAGTGGGCCTTTTGCAGGAGCCTATTTGGCTTTTCAGCAGCATGGGCACTGTCAAATGTTCCTTCTCTCCTGTGCCACTCGGGTGCGTCATCTCTACCTGCATTTCAGGGTCAGCCTCCTTTACCTGGGCACTCAATGTTA